GGTCCATGGAGTAATATTGTTTAGGTCAAGATGTCCCAGAATAAAAGGACGACAGGGAGAAGGGAAAGGGGGAAAGGAAAATGTGTATTTGAGTAATATGTTTTCTTAGAGCTGAAGAGACAAGCTGTTTCTCTTTCTCACGTTGTCTTTTCTATGTAGCAGGGGGGACTTTTATAGGATACTAATCTTGCTCCTCGAATTATCAAGAGAAAAACTGAATATACTTTGTTGAAGGGAGGAGTTATAGTTTAAACTGTATTTTACTTGTGATACTGAAGATTGTCATCTTTTTTAGGGGAGTGTAAGTCTTAGCAAAACTAAACCACCGAGAAAGTATCTTCATTTTTTCCCTTTTTTATAAACATTTTTCTACATGTTTTCTTTTTTCCTTTTAATTTTTTAAAAAGACTTATTCATTTATTTTAGAGACTGAGCTTGAGGGGGAGGGAGGGGCAGAGAGAGAGAGAGAGAGAGAGAAGAGAGAGATTCTTGAGCAGGCTCTATGCCCAGCGCAGAACCCAACTTGGGGCTCGATCCCATGAGCCCAAGATCATGTCCTGAGCCAAAACCAAGAGTTGGACACTTAACCAACTGAGCCACCAGACACCATTGTTTTAATTTTTATTTACTTTTTAAGTAATCTCTACACCTAATGTGGGGCTTGAACTCACAACCCTGAGATCAAGAGTCACATGCTTCACCGACTGAGCCAGACAGGTGGCCTTCTTTTCTTTTTCCTTTTTTTTTTTTTTTTTTTTTTTTACATTTTCACATAAAAACAAATCAGTCGGTAAACATTTAGTAAACAACAACTGCATAAGGACTAAAGGAAAAACAGAATACTAAGACACCGTCCATTTAGAACTTGAAATCTGATAGCAGAGATATTTATCTAAATAATTCTATCAGAGTTAAAAGAGAGGTATAAAGAGCTGTGGGGATGCAAAGAAGGGGAAGAGTATTTTTAAGTTGGAGACTTCATGGAAGGTTTCCTGGAGAAAGTAGCATTTGGATGTGGTGGGATTTCCCACTGTGGGAAAAACAGAGGGATTGTGACACGTGGCGATGAGGGATGGGAAGAATATAGAGCAGCCTTGGCATGAACAAAGATAAGCAGACTAGAAAATGCAGAGCATGTTTAACCTGGGCAAATAGTATGATATGCCTAACCACAAGGTATGCCAAGAATGGGAGTGGGGTCTGCAATCACTAGTGGAAAATAAGACTGAGAAAGTAAATTAGGACTGTGTCAGGGAGGGCCTTGAAAGCCATGGTAAGGCATTTCATTTATATGAAGGTCAGAGTTTCTCCTGCTTTTCTATTATGCCCTTAATAGAAAGAGGAGAGCAAAAACATAGAATTCTGTGGGGGAAGAGGGAGGGATGAATAGCTGGAGCACAGGGGATGTTTAGGGCGGTGAAGCTATTCTGTACGATTTTGTAATGGTGGATACATGACATTATTCATTTGTCAGTACCATTGAATGTACAACACAAAGAATGAACTGAAATGCAAATTATGGATAATAATTATGTATTAATATTGGTTCATCAATTTTGTAACAAGCATAGCACACTAATGCAAGTGTTAATAGGGGAAATGCAAGTTAATAATAGGGGAAATTATGTGTGTTTCAGGGGTCAGGGAAAGGAAGGAGGGGAAAAGGGTATATGGGAACTCTGTACTTTCTCCTCAACTTTTAAGTAAACCTAAAACTGCTTTTAAAAATAAAGTCTAGGGGCACCTGGATGGCTCAGTTGGTTAAGCACAACCTTCAGCTCAGGTCATGATCCTGGGGTCCCGGGATCGAGTCCCGCATCGGGCTCCCTGCTCAGCTGGAAGTCTGCTTCTCCCTCTGACCCTTCCTCCCTCCCATGCTCTCTCTATCATTCTCTTTCTCTCTCAATAAATAAATAAAAATCTTTAAAAAAAAAATAAAAATAAAGTCTAGGGGGCACCTGAGCGGCTCAGTCGGTTAAGCATGTGACTCTTGATCTCAGCTCCGGTCTTGATCTCACTGTTGTGAGTTCAAGTTCCACATTGGGCTCCGTGGGTGTGGAACCTACTTTAAAAAAGTAAAATATTAAGTCTAGGGACGCCTGGCTGGCTCAGTCAGTAGAACATGTGACTCTTGATCTTGGGGTTATAAGTTTGAGCCCCACATTGGGTGTAGAGAGTACTTTAAAAAAATAAAATCTTTAAAAATAAACAAATGAAAATAAACCTATTTTTTAATAACCACATTCTTTGAGATATGAAATATACCACAGGTCCCAATTTTTTAGGGAGTTCCGTATTATATCTATATATGATTTTTATATTCTGTTTGTTACACACAAATGGCTTTTTTTAAAAGATTTATTTATTTATTTATTTAACAGAGAGAGAGAGAGAGAGAGAGAGAGAGAGAGCACAAATAGAGCAGCAGGCAGAGGGAGAGGGAGGAGCAGGCTCTCTGCCAAGCAGGGAGCCCGATGTGGGGCTCGATCCCAGGACCCTGGGATCATGACCTGAGCTGAAGGCAGACGCTTAACTGACTGAGCCACCCAAGTACCCCACAAATGGCTATTTTAACATTAAAATTTTCCCCAAAATTTGCAATAACGTAAATGACCCCTCAGTGTGTGATTCCTGTGTTAAGTTGGTTGACCAGGGAATCACTGAAGTCGTATATTAAAAGTGAAACAAAACAAAATTAAACCAGCAAAATGATGAGCAACCAGTTTTTCTTGCCACACACGTATTTTTTGCATCCTTATTTTCATTTCCCAGTATTCATATGGAGGCTTATCCACTACCTTTAACTCAGGCAAGCTTTGTTTTATTTGCAGATGAACTTTGCAACAGGCATAATGAGAAATAGTTGATAAACCCACTTTTGTGGATATTGCAGTCAAGACAAAAGAGGTATATTTTGATATGCAGGTAATTTATAGCAAGCAAAGTGGATAAATATAAAATAAGCATGCTGAGGAGATAGGCAGAGTAAATGGAGGGACCTGGGTGAGTTAGGTTTGGAGGAATTATGAAGCAAGGGCATAGTTTGATGGGTGCCCCATCATTAAGAGCACAGATGTTTTTCTGGGTGTCACTGGGACCCAGCATGACCTTTAAGCTATCACCAGGACACATTCTTCTTGTGTGTTGTGTTTACACTGTGACTCAGATAACTTAAGGTTGTTTGGGTACTTATTTGTGTAGATATTCAGACATGTGAACCCAAACGGTGCCTCATCATAAGTCCCTTTGGAACCCCTGAAGCACATTCATAGGCCAGTCTCCTTATTTGTGTTTTCGAGGCACTTTGTTTTCCTTATGAAGACCACAACTGGAATTTTTAACCTCATGCCTTTGAGAGTAAATTCCTTAGTTCTCTGCTTGCTGGGAAAAAACAAGAGGCCCACTGACAGATACCCCTAGGAGAGTAGTCCTTTTTCCATAAAACTGTTTCTTCAGTGAGAGAATAAAGAGAATATATACAGGGTGGATAAGGTCCTGGGTCAATCTTGAGTTTGAATCCTCTGTTTACCAGCTATTGGTCACTGGACAAGTCACTTTACCTCTCTGGTCCTGGCTTATCTATAAAGTGGGGAAAAGATCTTGGGTTACTTGGAATAAGAATGTGTCTGGTGTGTGGGCGGTACTTCAGTAAATACTGTTTTGCTTCCCCCTTTCCTGCCTGTTCTGCTAAACTTTCAGAGCCACCTCGTCATTCATTTGGTATTTCATATGAGCACCTACTATGAGCCAAGCCCATTGCTAGGTGATAGGGAAATGACTAGAAATAAGACACATCAGCCTATGATTTCAGGAGCCTCTAGTGGTTTATGAGCAATTCATTTCTTTGCCTCCAATATCAGCAGTCCCGAATTCACGCAGCCCTTCACTAGTGTTTTTGACCCAAGAGTTACCACTTAAAATACTCAGTGACTGCTTTTTTGGTACCGCTTTGAAGAGTGAACTGGTTTCAGGAGAATCAAGGACCCATAAGGCACCGCGTGGGTTCACATGTCTGAATATCTACATCAGTAAGTACCCACATAGGTTCCTAGTGCATAAAGGTCTAAAGTCTACACCCTCTGGTGGCTCACACGTCCACATTAAATAGTTAAACTGAAATCCCTCAGGGTTTTATTTCACTTACTGTGACCACAAATCATATTCTGAAAAATACACGTGGCATGTCCCATCCTAAGTAGGCAGTGCATGAAACAAATTACATTGTGGCCTTAGAATCCATACAAGTGTTTTTACCTTTGTCTTTCATACGTTTTCTTGTTTCCATTTTTCTTTCGTTGTGGTTTTGGTTTGAGGGTGGTTTAAAATTAATGCTGTGTTAGATTGTCATTTCGACATTCTGTCGTTCATGATCAGATATGTTTTCATGATCTCTAATCTTTTCTCAATATGGAGAACACATTCTCCTTTTTAAGGGAAACTGTACACACAGAAAAGATAAATATCTGAGTAAGTTTTCATAGAGGGATCGTCCCTTCTTAAAAAGATTCATTTTTGTGTTACTTATTCTTATAATGCAATTAAAGAATACATTTTTACCTAAATTTAATGTGCCAAATTTTCTGTCACACAAAACCATTATAAACACAAATGGGGGAGCATAATTTTTATCCTAAAGAGAAAAATAATTTAGCATCTCTAATTCCAAGGAAGTAAAATTGTCCCAGAACTTTATGCTCTTTAAAAATCATTAACAGACCTGATTTGATGATCTGAGAGCAGGGCTGTTTGCAGGACACGGACCACATCGATACTATTATAGGGTTCTGTGCTGTGATATCCAGGTAAGGGGTGGCTTCCTTCCTTAAGTAAAACAACTTAGACAGCACTCAGAAGGTGGTTGTGTTTTCCTCTCTCGTTGTGATAATCTAGATGAGAGCACAGTACCAAAGACCCTTTTCAGTTCCCTTCCTGTGAATCTTTAGAAGATTGCTCTGCTTTCCAGAACTAACTCCACAGCTTTTCTTTTTTTTCCATTTCAGAAATTACCATGGTTGACACCGAGATGCCATTTTGGCCCACCAACTTCGGAATCAGCTCCGTGGATCTCTCTGTAATGGATGATCACTCCCATTCTTTTGACATCAAGCCCTTCACCACTGTGGATTTCTCCAGCATTTCCACTCCACACTATGAAGACATTCCATTCGCGAGACCGGACCCACTGGTTGCCGATTATAAGTATGACCTGAAGCTCCAAGAGTACCAAAGTATGATATTTTTACTTTTCAGACTGCTAAGACTAGAATCGGACTAACCTCTCAGTAAGACTGGAATAAATGCTCCAGAGACTAAAACTCTATAAAAAAGCTACTTACCATTCATTTACTCATCTATTTACCTATGAAACATTATGTGTTTATGATATACCAAAAAGGATGGTAGTGTGTAAATACCCCAGATCATTCTTTCCTTTTTTTCCCTCCTTTCTTCCTTTTCCTTTCCCTATTTCTTGTTTCTTTCCTTCTTAGGAGCATTTTCCAGCATGGCTGCATCAGGTTTATCTTAGGCGAAGTAAGAGTCTGTCACCCAAACTCTGAATTCTTTAGGCCGCTTCTAAGTTAATAAGTAATAGTTTGCTACCTTATATAACTTCTCATCACCAAATTGCAAAGTTGTGATCCATTTCTCCCTAGTTCTGCAATTTGAGCAGCTTATTCCGAAACCTATTTTTCTGCACAAATTTCAATTTTGCCATTGTAGTCTATTGATAAATCTTCCTGCCATTAAGTAAATTCACGACAAAAACATCATACTTAAGACAAACCAAAACGGCACTTTTCAAGATAAAATACATTTCTGTGATGCTATTTCCTTGATTTTTATCTTTGTGTGCTGATATGCTGGTTTTCCAAAGCCACCCCACCATGTAATTGGCAACCATTACTTGACAATAAGTAAGAACTTCCTGTATTTCTAGTTTTTTTTTTTTTTGAGATAAATAGTATACTTGGTTATTTTTGTGTGGTTTTCGGTTAGAGCCTAATATGGAAATTTAATAGGCCTGATCCTAACCAGCCAAAGGGTAGTACTTACTCTCCATGGGTTCTCTCACTCTATCAAAGATTATTTTACAAACCACCTTTTCTGACTCAACACTGGTGAAAACCTGGTCTCTTGTTTTTCATGTACCTTCAAGCTGGGCATGACATTACCTTTTCACAGCAGTGTTCCTTCAGTGTTCCTTCCTTTTCCAAAAGTGGTTTAAAAATGCTTCTAAAATGCGATATTTAAATACAAATATATAATTTAATATTGTGATGAATGCCAAATACAGCACATTATGTAACAAAATAACCTTAATTGTCTCAGATACTATGTGGTGTCTGTCAGGGCTTTAGTGTTGAAGGGTTGCAGAACCACAGATTTAATTCCCTTCCCCCTTTCATTTTTACAGGTGAGGTTCAGAGGTGTTGTGACTTGCTTGTGGTTGCAAAGCCTACTTTTTCCTGTGGTTTTTTTTTCATGTTCCGTAATGCTTCTACACTTAAATAATAAACATATAGCAGTAAGGTGTACTATGGGGACTGGCCATAGAGCCTTTGTAGCAGTTTTTCATGTGATAATTACCTGCTCACATTTTTCTGTACACAGGTGCAATCAAAGTGGAGCCTGCATCCCCGCCTTATTATTCTGAAAAGACTCAGCTGTACAATAAGCCTCATGAAGAGCCTTCCAACTCCCTCATGGCAATTGAATGCCGAGTCTGTGGAGATAAAGCTTCTGGGTTCCACTATGGAGTTCATGCTTGTGAAGGATGCAAGGTAAAAAAAAAAGAGAGAGAGAAATTTTTTTTCAAAAAAATTTGCTGAAAATTTCCTTCTTCTTTCATTTCTTGTTGTGAACACATAGCAAGGAATTGAGATAAAACTTCTGTTGTTTTTTTGGTAAAACCCATTCTTCAAATGATTTATTTGAAAACCTAAGAAAATTGGTAAAAGCAGAGCTGCTTTGCCTCACTTCCCTTTCTCCAAATTGGTCCTTGAGCCACTGATCTAGTTCATTGTTTGCATCTTGCAGGTAAAAAAAAAAAGTGACTTATTCAGTGTGTCATGGCTAGACAATGATGAGCTGGCCCCAGAATCCATATTTTTTTAATCTTCCAGTTTTGTTTTCTCACTATTCCACGTGTTACTTTGTTTTTATAAGGCTTGACAGATTAGATAAATAGATACTTCATTTGATGCCTAGAACAGCCCTGTGAGGTTGAGCTTCTTGATGGCCACTTGACAGATGTAGAAATTATGAATTAGTGAAACTTGCCATGGTCTTCCATTAGTAAGTGGCAGAACTAGGACCAGAACAAGTATCTCATGATTCCTAAGCCAGTGTTCTGTGTATTCTTATTTCAGCGTCAGTTTGAGACATGTATTATGGACAGGCAAAGGGGTATAACTATTCTGGAAGGGAGATACTATTTTTCCTCCATTCTTTGTGAAAAGTGTATTTTTGAAAGCTCAAACATTTAGTAATATTCTGCCCAATTATTAAGAAATTTTTAATCCACTCAATAGGTAGTCTTTTAAAATAATTAATTTTAATATACTCAATGAATCAATAGTATTTATTATATACTCCAGGACTCAGAATAAATTGTTCATGAATATTTACCTTATAAAATAAACACTGCCTATATAAGATCAAATTTGATCCTCAGTCGAGCTTTTTATTCAGAATAAAGATATACAACACCAGTTAGGTAGGTGTTAGAACATCTGGGGTCTGAAATTAATATTTATTGATTTCTACTATGTACAAGATATTGTACAAGATGCTTTAGCATATATCATTTTTAAACTATATCCTGCCTAAGTTTTTGCATCTATAAAATGATGGGGTTGAATTCGATAATCTCTAGAATCTCTTCAATTCAAATAGTGTATTACTAAAGGCAACTTAATAAAGTGAAAAGAGACAAGCTAGTAGTCACCTAGCAACTTGCCCAGAGTTACTAGCCAATCACATAAACACTTTAGCCCTCCATCATCTCATGCGTAAAATGACTTGGTGGGATTAGCAGCTATCCAAGGTCTAATTCATTTTCAAGGTCTAAAATTCCAAAATGAGTTTTTGAAATACCATTGGCAAGAGACACTTTCACTTAAAACACTAAAACCTATTCACTGTGTCATTAAAACCAAACTAAAATATCTGTGATCTCTGAAATCATTATGTATAACCAGTTATTTAAGATTCCAATGAGTTGTGAGAACATGTTGTTTTAATTGTTAGATTTACATAATTTTTGAGTAAATTGTTACTAAATTCTGAGAAATACCTGAAGAAACCATTCCATTTGGTCATCTTGGTAATTTATGTTGATAAGCAAAACAGTGTGATGGCTAAGTTTCCACAGTGCATTATTGTTTTTTATGGGCTGGTGAAACACTTAGAAAACTAGAACATTTAAGCAAATAGTTCTCCCATGATTCTGTTAGTCACATATTTGTGGGGAGTTAACATTACTGATAACAGCTAAAAATTGAAAAGACAATAGCTGATATAGTAATAAAAGCTAAGTTCTGAGGGCACAAAAACTTAGAAAATAAAAGCGAGCAAAGAAGAAAAATAGCAAGAAGGAGAAGAGGAAGGACAAAGGCAAAATGCCATCAAGTTAGAAACAGAAAGGGTGCTGAGGCAGGGATGGAGAGTGAATATTTAATCAGATCTGAAGAATACCCTGGATTACAGACTTCCAGGACTAAAATGCAAGGAAGGTTGTACTGACCTTGGAAGGGGAAATAGACATCTACTCATTTTAAAGATAAGAATAAGAAAAATGTTAGTGGAATAATAGAATTTGGCTTCTCCAAGCATAAGTCAGCAGTTCTCAAAATGTGGTCTAGAAGCCTCTAGGGGTCCCTAAGACCTTTCCAAGGCACCCGTGATGTTGAAACTATTTTTATAATAATATTCAGTTGTCATTTACCATTTTCACTCTCATTCTCTCAGAAGTGTCTGTGGAGTGTTCCAGAAACTACATGACACGGAATGGTAACATAGCTCTGGTGGCTCATGGAATGTTTGCTTGTTAGGTCCTTGTACATAACAATTTCTCGGTTTTAATTTCTAGTCTGATAAGTGTCAGTAGATACAGCCCACATAAACCAAAGCTCATGGGGTTCTCAATAATTTTTAAGAGAGTAAAAGAGTCCTGAGACCGGAAAGTTTGAGAACTGTTGTTATAAGAGATTGAGGGATTGCTACTTTGGAACTAAACAAAATTGTCGCCACAGTCTGAATGCAGCTAATTTAGACCAGTGGCTACCAGCAATCAAAGATATCTTCTTAGCTTATTGACAGTACTCAATAAAAAGCCAGGAAAGTGAAATTAACAAGTGTTTGACTCATATGTATTTTCTAAAGGGTGCCTTGGCTGTTTAACGTCTGCCATTTTGGTAGAATGTGGGATATGCCCATAATTAAAATACAGTTAACCATCAACCTGCATACTAACTGATGGATTGAAAAGAATAGTTATAGTATTGCTTATAATAGCTGTTAGTAGATCTTCTGGAACTGTTTTACAGTGCCCATGGAACAGGTTTATATTAGTGATTCTTGCCAAAAATCAAACAGGAATAAAAAGATTAGGCTTGGATTAAAGTGGAATAGCGACAGATTCTTGGGTCATTAATATTGCAGACTTAGGTAAAATATAACCTTTGGCTCCTGAATAATACATCCACCTTAGAGCTTGCAAAGTTGTCATTTATTGCTTACAAATTGGACACTTACTCATTTTCTAGTAGGCTTCATCTTATTTTTGTATCTTTAGTGAAAGATCATTTTAGAACCATAGACTTACCTAAAGATATAAGTGCAATCTACTATATAATACAGTGTAATCTGTTTTTATAGTTCTTTGAAGGGCCCTAAGTCAGGACGGGTTTTTAGTATATTCGCACCTGCCATGGGAGCTCATGGATTGAGCTTCTCTGGGCCATACCACTTCATAAGAAAGCCAAACACAGGACCAGCACAAGGCTTTTAATCTCACCATAAAATTAACTTAGGTCTCATTGCACCTAAGTTAAAAGTTTTGTTAAAAGTAAAGCAATTGAGGAGAAGTTGGAGAAAAATTTTTATAAGGCAAAAGCAAAAAAGCAGCCATCACCTTCTCACAGACAAATAGAAGACTTTGGAGTAAATCTATACCAAAAAAAAACCCAATTTTCTGCCATGGTGATTCATGCATTTCCATCACACCAGTTCACAGACTTAGTGGTCATCAAAAGACTAAGTTGTTGAAATTGCACACAGTTTTATGGACTCTAAAATAATAAATAAGAGTGTTGTTAAAGAGTGTTTTCTTGATCAGCAACATGATCAGGGATCATGGGATCCCTGATCCCATCAGGGAAGTCTGCTTCATTCTTCAAATGAATAAATAACTGTACAGAAAAGCACTCTAATAGCCTTATATCTTCCTCACTAGGTTTCTTGAAATAATCGAAGTATAAGAATACAGTTGGCTATCATGAACTAGGTGTTTTGAAAAAGAAAAGTAAAAGCAACTTCGAAGCTGTGTGCTGGTGTGTACATATTCAGTTTGTGATTTTATGTACATATGCAGTACATAAATAATATCCAGAATTATTTTCCTTTAACATTGAAAGACACTGAGTCATCATAAAAAATAATATGAAACACTTTGAAAGATGTTGTATGAGTCAAAACAAAACTTTGCCACTGTAAGGGTTAAACTTAAATAATATAAATCTATCATCAAAAACCCTTCCTCTCCAGCCATGCCAAATAACTGACTACTCTGGGACCTGCCGCGTTCTCAGCTAGCCAAGCAGCATTTTCCACCATGGAGATCAGTTTTTAGAAGTGAAAATTTTAAAAAACAGTCAAGGAATATCATAAAATGTATATGATCACAATGGCAAAAATCAAAACAAAATTTCCCACCAGCATTTGTCAGTGAGAATAGTTCTGTACATGAGCCTTCTATTAGTAAGTGAAAAAAATACCCTTTTAATATCCAGAGGTCCTCAGAACACTTCGAGAATTAAGGAGGCTTCAAGTTAAAGCAGATCCTCTATAGGACCTAATCTATGAGATACTGCTGATCTCACAAGGGTAGGGAAAACTTCTCCCAAACAACCAACAATAGCAACACAAACAAACAAACAAAAACTCTAGGTCTTGACCTGTGGGCTGCAGGCACACTTACTGAGGCAGGGTTTCTCTCATGGTAGATGCCCAAAGGAGTCCTGAGGTGTGGCACTGCCCCAGAGACAGATGCCTAGAACAGTATCCAGAGCCATCAGTGAGGGGGAGCTGAGTCTAGGGCTTTTAAATTCAGTCAGCTTTCTCAAGGGAATTTGAAATAGTCACAAGTCACTGGCACCTCTGGCTTCCTACAGTAGCATCTGCAAATTCTTTTTGGAGGAAAGAATTCCCAATTTAGATCCGGTAAGATTCCCACAGTTTAAGGTCAATATATGAGTTTCAAATAAAATATCAGTCAGTAAGCACATTAAGAAGTCAATCAACTTGAATGACATTTATCAAAAATAAGCAAAAACAGATTTAGACCCCTCCACCCCTACACAAGGAGAGCAGATAATTGGGATTACCTGATAGAGAATACAGAACAGCTGTGTATGAACTGTTTCAAGAAAGAGGGCAAAATCACAGCAATGAACCAGCAACAATAGACTATCAGGAATGACCAGGCATATTTGGGAAAATAAATCAAATTACTTAGTGAAGTGAAACTTAAACAGTGAAAAATATAATTATTGAAATAAAAATTCAGTGAAGATAGCTATTGGACATAGCAGAAGAAAGGACTACTGAACTGGAAGGTAAATGTAAAGAAATTACTGAAATGGAGAATCACAGTGCCTTAAGAATATGTCCTGTCCAGAATCTGCTAGAATTTGAAGCCTCTTAGTTCTTGAAGGATTCATAGGATCTTTGAATATTAGAAAAGTATGTCTTCTTCACGAATCAATAGAAGAGTAATGTACAGAACTGTTCTCACTGATGAAAACTGGTGAGAAATGTTTCCTTTTTTGCTCACTATACTTATGTAGCTTTTTTTTCTCACTGTAATTATTTTGTGATCTTATTTGTTGTTCTGATGTTTACTTTTGCAATCAATGTTAGTGAGTAATTGATGACAAAAAGATGGAAAATGTAAAGAAGTTCAGAAATATTGAAGGCTAGAATAAGGTCTAACACTTCTCTAATTCATGTCAGAACTTGACAAGTGAAACCATGATGCAGAAAACATGTCCAAGAGAATAAATCAAAAGAAGTCCATTCTGAGACAAGCTGCAGTAAAACTGCAGAATACTGAAAACTAAGAGAGTGTATAAAAGCAACCAAAGAGAAAAGAAAAAAAAAAAAAAACACTTCAAAGTCAATTGACAGTAGACCTCTCCACAGCAACAGTGGAAGCACAAAAATCATGGGATCTGAAGTGAGATAGAAGATAACAGAGTTCTCCGTAATCTTTCAACAGTGAGAGAGAAATGAAACTGTTTACAGGCTCAAAAAAACCGAGAGACTGAAATAGTACATTTCAAGGATAGTAAACCATAGAGAGCAGAAGATATTTGCAACACCTGGAACAGACAACAGATTAGTGTCTAGAATATATAAAGAATTTCTAATATTCGCTTTTAAGGAAGAGACATTTGGACAATAGGAAATGAAAAATCAGGAAAATACAAATTAAGATCACACTTAGATTCTATTTTACACATACTGCATTGTCAAGAATTAAGAAGTCTGACAATACCAGTTGTTAGAGGGAATGTAAATTGATAAAATCACTCTGGAAAACAGTTTGGCATGATCTTGTAAAATTTCACATTCACTTATTGTACAATCCAAAAAACTCCACTCCTAGGAAACTCTTGTACATGTGCATCATAAAACATTTACAAGAGTATTTATCGAAGCACTGTTCGTAGTAGCAAAATATTGGCAATAATTTAAACATCCATCAACATGAGAAGATATCAATAAATTGTGGAATAGATATACAGTAGAATATTATGAAATTGTGAAAATGAAGAGATCCTAGCTTTTCACAAGAAAGTAGATAAATTTTAGAAACCTAATACTAAATTAAAAAAAAAAAGAAAATCCCAAAATACTATATGAAGTATCATACCATTTATTTTTTTTTAAGATTTTATTTATTTATTTGACAGAGACACAGCAAGAGAGGGAACACAAGGAGGGGGAGTGGGAGAGGGAGAAGCAGGCTTCCCGCGGAGCAGGGAGCCCGATGCGGGGCTTGATGCGGGGTCGATGCGGGGCTCGATCCCAGAACCCTGGGATCAGGAGCTGAGCCGAAGGCAGACGCTTAGCGACTGAGCCACCCCGGTGCCCCATATCATACCATTTAATAAAGCCCCCAAACAAGCATAACTGATCAGTGTATTATTCAGTTTTTACCAATAGTGTGATAAAACTGTATTTTCTTAAAAGTCAAGAAAACAATAAACACAAAATTGAGAATAATGATCACTTTGTCACGAGGACACAGAGGGCAGGATTTGGATAGAGGAAGAATTTCCAGTCATGATTTTAAATCTTGGCAATGGGCTCGTGTGTGATAATTATCTTACTGTGTTTTATAATTACATGTATTTTCTACATGTTTGTAATTAATATTACATTTAATAAGATAACAGAAAAGGAAGAGAGTATGCCAATGGCCTTGTGGTATCTCAGTCATGGTTTAGGATAGAAAAATATCAGAAATGGCCCAGAAAGGAAGTTAAGTGACGTACATCTTCATTCAACAGATTTTAATAGAAGACTACTGTTGGTATTTGGGTCATATCCAGTGGCTCCCCATGGAGCTCACAATTTTAATTGGGCAGTGGGGGAAGGGCAGAAAACAAGCACTTAAATATAATAAGTAAATTATATGGTATGTTAGAAAATCCTAAGTGCTATTGGGAAAAAAAAAAAAAAAAAAACTAGAGTAGAGTGAAGGAGACCAGGAGCTCTAGTTGAGAGGTGGGGGCAAGGACAGGCCACAGTATTAAATAAGGGTGTATAAGCCTCATTGAGAAGTTGAGATGTTCGCAAGACTTGAAGGCAATGAGAAGAATAAGCAGGTGTATATTTAGAGGAAGAGCTTTCCACGTGAGAGAAAGAAGTCAGGAGTGACTTCAGGGAGCTTGAAAAAAAGTTTGGCTTGAGAGACTCAGAGGGTGGTTGTGCCACCTGAGATAGTGAAAGCTGCCAGTAAAATGAGTTTGCAGGGGTACGATCCGGAGTTTCAATGTTGGACATGCTGGGTTTGAGGTAGCTGTTAGATTTCCAAGTGACGTGTCAAGTAAGCAGTAGAAATACTTGTCTAGAATTCAAGATACAAATCTGGAGAAAGTGAAAATGCATGTCAGTGGCAGAACCAATACTAGTTCAGGGATTTTTGTACCAAACAGGGTCAGATAATATTTGAAAGAGTTAAGAATTGAGTTTCATGGAGATGAGCACAGTGGAAATGAATAAGAACACTTTGACCAAAAAACAACAAAAAATGGAATTAGCAAACATCTTCAATTAAAATTTCTTTCAGGTCTTTCAATAAAGTATAACTACGGCAGAATTCAATTAGCCTCAAATCGACCTATTTGCTATTTTGAGATGGCAGTCCATTGTCTGAGGATTTATATATTACTTCTCCTGTTCTTTCCTATTATCTTTTTTGTTGTTGTTGTAGGTTATGACAGTTATGGAGCACTCTTTCAACTGCATAAGTAAATGAAACCAATTCTGTAGGAAATTATGCAACATAGAGAATTCTAAAAAATTATCCACATGTGGATTTTTATTGGCCCTGATCATGTTTTAGGATGAAGTGATTATAACTTTGCCAAATGGCTTAGCACAATAATAAAGGCTGGGGCATGCTGTTGGAATGATCTGTAGAGAGACTGAACTGATTACATGGTGTTTTATTTGCATTACATTAAATCCAGAGCACTTCTTAGAGCATGCTGAGATCCAAGTGTAGAGCCAACATACATTGAATGACATCAGTTGGCTATGGTCACTGTTTCAGAGCTAAAAAAGGACACTGGAGATCTTCTGGTTCTATATGTTATAGCAAAGAAAACTGGCAGTTAAGTGACTTGTCTGAAGTCACCAGTGACAAAGCCTACCTTTTCTGTTACCTAGGCCAGTGTGTCTTTAGCCAAATGTTGCTGCTTCCATGTATCATAAAGACCTAAGATTTGCTTCTTTTTTCCATATCCTTTTGCAGGGTTTCTTCCGGAGGACAATCAGATTGAAGCTCATTTATGATAGGTGTGACCTTAACTGTCGGATCCACAAAAAAAGTAGAAATAAATGTCAGTACTGTCGATTTCAGAAATGCCTTGCTGTGGGGATGTCTCACAATGGTAAGTGAACACTTAGCACACAAACTTTACTGTTCTCATTATGGCTGCCAGATCAGTGGCCTTTAGGGCCACTGCTGAAAATGTGCACAGTTTCCCACAAAATGCCAGATTTCAGAATAGTATATGCTGATAAAGCATTTCTCATTTCAGTCAGAGTCTAGGCTTTTAGTGTAGAATACTTCTCTCTGTGGTTGGGCATCTGCCATGATGGGAGAAAAGACTTGAAAACATGAGAAATAATAGAAATATCTCGTATTTTAAAATGAATGTAATGATTGTGATCAGTTTTTTGTATTGCTTTAATAGCATTAAAAACAGAATTATGCTTGTGTGTATCAGTAGTTTCTTTATACTTTAAATGTAAGAAAATTCTGCAAGTTTCTGGGTATGGAACTTTAAATGGCGTATCAGAATTTAGAATATATCCTTTTTTTCCCTCTTTACTGTGCAAAGATAGTTATAGGCATAGTAGTATCCTTGACTTCGAGGAGCATGCAGAGTTATGGATAAAGCAAAGAATTTTAAGATTCCACAAAACTTTAGTGTCCATAGAAACATAAGAGAATAAAACTTTGTTTTTTAAAGCCATATCTAAAATCAAGGAGTGTCAACTTAAGAGAAAGAATGTAGATGACCTGAGAAGACCCTTGTTTTCGTGAATTGTAGAACTAACTCAGTAAAATCACGGAACATAGGCCTGTTTGAAGAAATAGTTCTTGATTTCCATTTAGCTCAGATTGGTGTTAACAAAGTTACAAAGCAAATTTGATAGTAACTTGATAGTATTATATTTGTCACGTATTAGTTCTTTGAAAACGCATTATGGCTCAAGAAATATAAAATGCCAAAGTGATCAAATAAAATCTGAAGTCTCAGTTCACTACATACTCTATTTTTTTCTTTCTTTTGCCTTCACCTGTGTCAAAACTGATCTGGTGAGAGAATAATATTTGAAGTCAATCTTCATAATGTTAGGACTCCAAAGCATCTGTGAAAATTAAAGTTTTATTCCATTGTGCAGATGTTTGGTTTTCACAGTGGACATCTTCAGAATATTTGAGAATCACTAATTGGTTGATATCCAACTCTTTAAAAATAGCTCACAAAATTATAGTTTTATAATTAATATGGGTCATTTCCTCTAAAGGCAAGAATATATTATGAAGAGATCTATCAGCTCTACTGGGCAGGATGGAGATTTGGTCTGACTTCCCTCACAATTGATTACATCTGCTGTGTAGCAGTATACAACTGCAGTCATTGATTGCAAAATAATTTACTGGTTTGATTCCATCAATTTCCTTTCTACTTCAGACTTCATAAAGCATAAGGACACATTTTCAAGTCAAGGGTTATATTTTAGATGATGCAATCAAGTTGCAGTAAACTTATTTTATCTTTATGAAGAAATCTGACTTTGAAATCATTACTAAGACTGCCTAGAAAAGCATGCCATTTCTGCTTTTAATGGTATTTATTTTTTGCCCTTTAAAAATTGTCACTTCACATAACATTTATTTCCTGTTGCTTGCACACATTCACATAAAATACTTCTCCTTTTGCTTATTGTTTATAGGCAAATAATATTTAAAGCCCAACAATCTATGTAGTATTGATGGTATAATTTTCTCTTCCCAGAAAAGTCAAAGAAGGCCCATAAACTTATTAATAATGTCATCATTTGACTTCATATGACAACTTATTCTATTTAGAGAGAAGAGTAATCTTGATAGGGAGTGTTCAGTTAGTTCTTCTTGGAAAGAAAAAAAAGGAATTAAATGTTCTGGCATCAAAGACTTACGAAGTTCAACATTTACAAGATTGCGACTGTGACTAAGAAAATCCCTTCTAAGAGGTTTTTATGGGAATGTGTTTGCTGCACAGAAAACATCCATTTGATCTGCGCACAAGAAGGGAAACATAACAACGAGGTTTTGAGTAGTTTTGCCTGTTATGTGAGAAAGGAAACATTTCCAAACACGAAGTTTTCTAAGAGGTTGTAGTAACTATTTAAAACTATTTTGTTAATTTATTAATGTTTTATGTGAATGGCCCTCACTGTAATAACCCACCCAACTTATCAAGAGCCTTCTACTGTTATACCAAAATCAGCACCTCGATGCTTTCAGTAGACACAAGAAGAGATGAACGTCCTCCCAAAGTAATTTACTCCATTCTCTGTTACTGTTGTTTCTGCTCTTTCATCTCTGTTTAATCCATCTGATGCATGTAGCTTGCGCACTAGCCACCCACTCCCAGCTTTAAATGAGGCTTCTGAAGTAACCTTCAAGGAACCCTCAGGGCCCAGGGGAACATTGTTGAAAAATCACTGAAACAAGGATTGCTAAATCCTTTTCAACTTTGAAAATTCTATGAGTTTACGTAACTCAAACTACCTCCCTGAATTTTTCACTTTTCAACAAACTGGACCATATTTTATAGACATTGTCACCATTTTCTCAAATATGTAGGTATCTGGCATCTGTTGACTACCTGAATTTAAAAGTTTCCACCTGTATGTTTTGGTGCCATAAAAATATAATCCATATGCCTGAATCAGGCCTTCTGGATGTTCTGAACAATTGCTCAATTGATGGTCACATAATGATGTAGCCTCAGAGTACAAATCCAAAGCAGTCAGGGCTGAAGAAAGTGTAAATGGCTAATGGCATATGGTTCCATCTGAAGATGGATTGTGATGTGTAGCCTAAACATTGTAGGACAGAAGGATTTCAGAATTCTTACACTTGGGAACCCAGTTGTTTCTCAGAGATCTATTTTCAGCATTGAGTAGGAAAAGCACCCAAGTGTTGGACTGATATGCTTTGGGAGCAAATTTTTTGTTTTTTGGTAGTGATCAAGATAAACACGTGTTGCAATTGTTTTGATCATTTAACATACCATCATTTCTAGACCACGGGTCAGTTCCACTGATCGCTCCCCTGTCTTCCTGAGTCATGCTAAGCACAGTCAGTTCAATACCCTGTCAGATACCTTTAGAGGGAATCTCCAAATGAAAGTAAAGCAGAAATCAAGACCCAGCTTCCTGGCCTCTACCCAGAGGTACATGTGACTTACCACGTGATCACAGCATCACCTGCTACTTGTTCATTTTGAATTAGTGAAGCTGTTATCTACAGAATCCTGATAAAAAATACCCTCATAGATTAATGTAGTTTCTTCAGTCAAATGGGCCCCCACATACACTTTTGTATTTTTTCTTAGTATAATTTTTGTTTTAAAGTCCTGTTGTCAAGATCCCTGACATTAATCATATTTTTAAAATGTGTCTTCTTTATTTTTGATAAGATAATTTATTCATTAAGAACTTTGACTAGTGAATATTTTGTCTTTGGAGCTGCTTTTCATGTATGAACTAAATAATAAAATTATAAGTGTAGGCTGTTCATTTTAAAAAATAATGTGAGGTAGAGAAGAATTAACTTGTTGCTTCTGAGTCACTCAGCTAGGTTTTCCCTGTGCCACTGAGATTTGAATGAAAATGATGCTTTTCATAAATATAAAAATTAGTGAAACCTTAGCTTTACTGATCAGGACATTCTATTATATAAAGACTGACAACTTTAAAAATAATTTCTCAGCAGCTTCATAAAAATCCAGAAAAATGGTTTCACAGATATTTGTGGCACTCAGCATTTTTTAAGGCAGTTCTCTCCTTCTTTGTAAAAAAGAAAAGCATGAATGGCAAATAAGTTTAAACTCCAGTGTGTTAGGTTTTTTTTTTTTAGTCTTCTTTGAATATAAAGGAAAATTACCCAAATGTTAATTTTCAGAAAATTTCACCAAGTAAAGAAGTCCCGACACATGGCAGCCGTGTGCTCAGACCAGCAGGCATTCATGGTTGCCCACACGCTAGCCTCCACCTCCTTTTCCCACCACTGCCCTTTCCAACTTACACATCGGGTAAACTGTGTACTTTGCCGTGCCTGCACAGTGCTCTGTGGTGGAATAGCTCTGGGCCTCGGTTTATTATGTCTTTTGGTTCTCCGTCACAACTCTACCTGGCATTCAACACCCAGCTGAAATGCCTTCTTCCGTAAGGCTTTCTAGCCGCCCCCCCTTCCTCTTCTGTGTGTTGTATACCTTTCCTGTGAAACCACACTCTGTTTTCTAAAGCAAGGGAACTATCAGGTCGATATTCCAAAAACTAAACTACTGACAACTGTGAGGAGGATAGAGAGAGAAATAGGGAAATTCGTCAGAGGACAGATGCAATATCATGCATTAAGACAGTGGGAAGGGTGAGTGAGGAGAAAGGAAATTGAGAAAAATATCAGAGCGTGACCAATGAATACAAGTGTCTCAGGGAAAGAGAGGTTGTCAGAAATTGTTCAGGGTGTCTAGTTGGGTGATAGGATGAATTAACCAAGAAAGGGAAACAGAAAGAGGAGACAGTATAGAGGGGAAAATCAAAAGTTCATTTTTAAAGTTACATTTGAGGGTTCTACGGGATATCTAGCATCCATGTATAAAGGAATATAGGAGCAAGAGAAAACTCAGAGTCCAAATCTCAGCAGTCATTAGCACATTTGGTGAGTCAGAGAGAAGACTGAACTAGGAACAACAGAAGGGAAGGAAGAGGGGCTATCAAAAAAGGTCTGGAAAACAGGCAGAAAGATAGGAGAACCAGAAAAGCAGAAACCACTAGGAGAACAAATTTGAAGTAAGAGTGTAGAAGGTCAACAGTAGCAAAAGCTGGGAGAATGCTGGAGAGCTCAAGCAGAAACGAGAGCTCTGAAGAAGCCCCTAGATCTGGCTGTAAGAAAAAACATAAGGGACTTTTAAGAGCAAAGTTTTGGAAATTTAAATGAGGTGTAGGCAAGATTGCAGTAGGTTGGGATGTAAATAGTGACAAATAGAGGCAGAGAAGGAAGACTCCTCTTCCAGTAACTTCAGGGGTGGAGGAAAGATGGCCCGAGGAGGTTATAACTAGGGTCAGATTCTTCAACCTCTGCTTTGGTGGAAGGAAGGAGCTAGTG